TGAAGATGGAAGCAAGGCAAGCACGCACGAGAAATTTGATAAAAATGAAACTAATCATGTTAATAGCGCTTTTTGTGATAATACAGCGTACGGGGGTTTAAAAATCTATGATAGTACGTCGGAAAGGCCACTTAAATAGTGTTGCAAGAGCAGACCTGTAAAAGAAAGATTTTTGAAGGAGGTTACTTCCCAGGATAAGAGGAATAGTCATCGAGAGGGCCGGAGGGCTAAAAGTCTTTTCAATATCTTATATAACACTCATTGGGATGAGAAATATGACGATCAACCTACTAGGTCGTATGAACTAGATGATGATGATGAACACTTACCATTTTCTAGGAAGATCGAGGAGGAACCAATCCCCGATAAGTCTATCCGTCCGATTATGGATAAGTACAGTGACAAAGGAGATCCTATGTACCATTTATGTGAGTACATGACATAAATGTAATTGAAGAAAAAAAGTCACGTACTTAAATGCTAAGGCTTTCATCTTACTTTGAATGAATTTGTCAAACGATGGTATATCAAGTTACCATTAGTTTGATTTGAAGTTGGCAACAGTTAAAACAAGCCTTTCCGGTGGCATTGGCAGGCAGTAGGATCGAGCAAGCCTTGGCTACTAAGCTCAATGACATGCGAGGGAAGAAGGCGAGAGTTGCTTCACCTAGGGAGGTTGGATTGAAATCCATCCGATCATAATAAAATAACTGTAAAGGACAAGCCTATGGTTACCCGTAGTTACAACTTGTCGTGACAAAAAACACAATGTAGCTGCACAAGTATTTATGAATAAAAATCACGATTCAGTTGTTTCGGTGATATGTCTTGATATTATATTATATGATTTATATCTTACGAGTTACATTACGAAATTATTTACAATCTGGCTCAGCTATAGCAACGACCTCACATAGAGGAATAATATCATATTCTGCAAATTGAAAATGCTCAACATAACAGGGAAAAAACATATCCTTTTAAAAAATTCATGTTTTATTTAGGATAAATTTTTTTGATAATATCGAGAACTCAATTTCCCCGTTCTACGTGGATTCCTAAAAAAATTTGGCTTCATAAGCCTTTCTTTCAACAATTGTAGACTCCGCAACAGAAAGTCTAATCTCGTTTCTTTTATTGTAAGGAAGTAAGTTCACTGTCTATTCGTTCAAGATGGGCTATGTTATCGAGCCGAGTCAACATTAAATCTTAGGTGAATTTTCTGATATCGACTAAAAGAGCAGCTCCTGCCTTAGCGTATTCCTCGGCCCACGACACATGATCCTGTATTTTGATTTTTCCTCATCTACCACATTCGGTTTTTTCTAGAGTGTGTTACATTCTTGCCCCAAGGTTTGAAACTTTATATTCAAACCGTTAGAGGGAAAATTCGGGGAACCAAGCTTTATCTGGATCAAATGACTCATTCCAATTCCATTTTCCAATACAAATAAGCGATGCAGAAGTTGTAGTTTCAAAATGCCATGACCTCGAAACCAAAACATCAATAGTGAAGGACTCTCCTGATCCTTACGGAGGGTAGGCTGGGCCTGGGTGATCGAATCCCCACATGAATGTTGCCTGCCCCTCTAGGCTCGCTAGAGCCTAAGCCTTCAATGAAGAACTTCACCGACACTTATAAAGGTTCGCATCAAAACCAATCTGCACTGCTAAGAAAAGAAAAAGGGCATTAAAAGATAATAATAACAATCAATTAAATGCCTGGAACTAGAGACAAATAAATTAGTACATCAACTTACCCACGGCAGTTTAAACACCAAGGTTGTAAAAGTTGGAGTTATAGGGATGAAGTAATCTCTCGGCTTTGCAAACCTCAGAAGACAAACGGAGGATAGGGGCCACATCGCAAAGCTTGCTAAGAGTGCGACTGCGAACTAAAAAAGGTGGTTCACCTATACTGATTCACCGCAGTTAGAACATAAAAGTCAAAATAAAAAAGACAAGTAATAAATCAACATTCATAGCACTTGCCATAAGTTCATGGCAGGACAATTGAAGGGTCATGATAATTAGGTTGAAATCCCCAATTACCTCGAATAAAGAAAAAAACTATCTTTCCAATTATACACCTGTTTAGGGGTGATTACTCGTTTTGGGCAAGCCCCGGAGAAATGGGGAGAAAATGAATAATACTCCATTTGAGGGTTCGTAGTATTCCCCAATGGCATGGGATGGTACATTTAACGAAATATATCTGATGAAAACTCCCCAATAGGCATGCGGATCTTCATAACAAAGAGGAACCGGCCAGTTGGGCCCACCCATTTGGAGAAAGCTTGGAAGGAGCCATGCTTAAAGAGAAAAAACTCTCTCTAAAAAGGTGATGAAAGGGGACTCTTAAGCCCTATATACATTGAACGTGTATGAATAGCTATACAATTTGGGGTAGGCAATCTACCATTTGAAACTATACAAGACCTAATAGCTCTATAACGTTGGGAATGTTGAAACGGGTCCTAATTTCAGCCAGGTATTGTTTAGAAAGATTGCTGAAAATTCTTGAAGCCTCAAAAGCGTTCCCACCACTTTAACTAAAGTCAATTGGCACATTAGAGGGCTCGCCCACCTCACCATGTGCCCTAGTTTTGGGTCAAAAACTTCATTCTTGACCAAAAAGTTCTGGATTAACGCATGTATCAGAATGGGTAACAGCCCTATAATGAAGTGCATCGATATAAAAAACTTCTACAGAAGAAGAAGAAGTGCTAAAAGTATCACTCTAGAACTAGAACTTCTAGAATTATAATTGCCAGATGCACTTTGAGAATCTACTTACATTGCAAGAAAGATGTCAGATAAGGAGGAGAGAATAATAGGTATGCAGGCAAAAGATTCTCTTGAGAGAAATAAAGTGGCAATGTAAAGAAAGCCAATAGAAGCAATGGCATATTTATAGATTTTAACGGGGAGGTATAAGTCGTTAAAGCATAATAGTAATAATCATAACCGTTGAAAATGAACGCGCAGCTAATCAAATCCTAAGATAAACGGGCAAAATCACAGGCCATCCACATGCTCCTAAAGAGTTAGGGGCTACTAACCTGGGAAAAATGCAAATAAAGCCCATTATCACACATACAACATAGTGATCACTAGCACGTTTCCCATTTCTTCCTCGAATAAATAGGGATGAGTAAAGGCGAGCCGAAAGGCCCTCAATAGATTTGCCAATCATAACATAAGACAATTAAAGTCCTAGATTTAATGTGAACAATAAAACATGACTAGCTATTGGCGAAGTGTAAGCAACATGCGAAGAGAAGGAAGATACAGAAGGCTCGCCCGAATCTTGCAAACCATTTTGCATAATCCAGACGGGCTACAGGTTGTCAATAAACGAGGACCAATGAATAAAGCATGATTGTTAACCGAACCTGTTATAAGATAGTCAACAAGGAGCCGCCATCTGTCACTCCCAAAGAGACCAAACTACCCCAAAAGTTATAAATATCCCATCATTTGAAGAGAAACGCATGCACTTCAAATATATTCCTCTCAAATAGCAATTTCCCTTCTTGCTCTAATTTGAGCGTCAAAATTAATGGGTTTGGGAAGTGAAAATCATACATAGTAGAGTATGATTTGTTGATCATATTTGTATCGTCAACACTCCCCAAAACATATAAGCAACTAATTACGTAAATGGTGCTCAAACAAACATTCAAGTAATACAACAAGACATACAAGATCAATCGAGAACAAAAATTAAATGATCTTTGAATTGAAAGTAATCAAATAAAAGGTATATATACAAGAGAGATATGTGGAATTTATTTCCTTGTTCTTGATCTTCAATCTTGAGTTTTGAATCTTCAACTTCTTGATATTTCTTGCCTTCAATTCCTTGGTAGATTTGTTCTCCTCAAATATGATAGATTGACCTCTCTTAATTAAAAGATTTGTATATTATGTTTGATATGAGAGACCCCTTCAATGTTTGTTCCTATTGTGTACTTAAGGAGGCTAGAATTAGGGGAAAAAATCGTGTCCAAAATGGTTTCCAAAAGGAGTTTTAGTTGTAGAAAGAAACTGCCCCAGTCAATCGGAACTTAAGCCATGCTATTGCACAACATATATAGTTGCTATCGCGCTTTCTTCAATTGAAATCTACTAGTGAATAAACTGGGCGATCGCGATCGCACCCCTTTATCTATTAGGAAACTCATTTTGGTACTTTATTTTGCTCTTTTGTTTAGCACAAGTCCTTTTTTCTAGCAATTTCCATTCTCTACTTCCTAATTTCATCCAGCTGTTTCTTTTTGATCTTTAATCATTCTCTCTTGGTCCAAATCATCTTTTGGATGTTTGTAATTTAGTTCCTGAACTTTGAAAATCCTCACTTTTTCACCGATCTTCGATCCTTTCTTTCAAAATCACTTCCAATCATCGAGTTTTACCTAACAAGCAATAAATACAAGAAATTAACCTATGATTCATCTAAAGTACTTTCCAATCTCCATATTAACGGCCTAAATAAGTGCATAAAATATCCTTACCAATGCCCATGTTTGGTTATATGTTTAAATCTCATTTTTCTTGAAACTCATTTTCAGCTGCACATTTCATGTAATTCACAGCTTTTATCAATTTTGCAACCACACGTTTAATCTTAAAAACGAGGTCTGTCTCATAGTGTTAAAGCAAAAGTTGATCACTATTTCTAGATTTTTCTGGCTGAACTCATAAAACTGTCATGCAAACTGAACCAGTAAAATTTCAGCTATTTAATTATTTGACAGTTACTCGTTTCAAATGAATCACAAAACAGGGAATTCTACAAGGCACAATTTCCTGTACAATAATTACACACTAAATCTTCTATCACAAACACCTATACTTGATGGATAAACAATGTATTTCCCATCAATTAGTCTGATTACAAAACATGGGGAGACCAGAAAGTACCAAAACAATAGGAGAGACCACGCAGGCAGGCAGGCAGCCATATAAAATATGACCTTCTAATTCACATACTAGTACTACTGTGTGAGCGACACGCATTCAAGCTCAATCTCCAACACTCCCCTTTCAACCTTCTGCAGCTTCAGAGCTATTTCCTGCTTCACTCTGCCATCTTTGAAGCTGATAACGCCGTCTCTTACAAGTGTGTTCTCTTTGCTTGCTTTCCAATTTCCAAGTGTCATTGACTCATCAATTGTGGTGCACTCAGAGGCTTTTGCAGCAGAGACCAGGGGTTGAATATCGATCTCGGCTTCCCCCATAAAATCATCTGTTTTAAATGTATCCTTGTCATATACAATCTGCCACAACACAACACGTTCTTATTAGATACATTTACAAGGAAACAAATACGCGCCCCCAGACAAAATTACATATCGATTTTTTTACGAGATGCAAATGCATGCAGTGATATCATTTAAGCTGTAAGTTATCGATAAAATTATTCAAAACTAGCATGTTATTCCTGTTATATCTTCATTTGGATTTCACCTATGGTATTTACTTAATTTCAATTTTCATCTGGAGTATCCTAAGTGAAAGATTTCTTAGGACAAACTTCTTTATTAACTGGTCTATGAGATGATAACATATTGATCATCAATTTGTGAATGTAATTCTGGCAAAGGAATGTTATTGAAATGCAAGAGAACATATTGGCTAGACTGAAATCATTTGTTTGAATGCAAAAAAGTAGGATCAGGAAAATTTTGAAGAACAAAACAATAAGGACATTAACAAATATCTGCTAAATTGTCCTTGAGATCTCATCAACAAATATCTGTGTGGAATACTGTCAAACACCATGATACTTTCTTTTTGGGAGACAACAGAAAATTTAAACTTTATAACCCAAAAACCAACCTTTCACTAAAAATCCCATATCAAGACTATCTGTTAATGGAATCAAATTCATCTCTGAAACTATTGTAACTTCACTTGTACCACACTTTATGTTTTCATATTTTAACATAAGAGTAGGATATTTCGTTAAGCAAAATTTTAGGATGACACAGAGGACATAAGAAATAGAAGTATGGAAGAGAGAATTTTATAGGAAGATAATTCCAATTCGGTGATAGGAAATGGTAATATGTCAATTAATATGGCATGGTGGATTTAGTTCTGATGGCCTGAATGATGCCAGTGTGTTTGTGTTCAAACTCTCCTTGGCTCATTATCTAATAGCTGAAAATTCCATTATCAAGAGAGAGATGGAAACTTGATGTTCAAGGACAATGGAGATGGTAATAAAATTCTATTGATGTGGCAGGCACCAAATATAGTCTTGTGCTCTCGAGGTGCCAAATGTGCTGCTTGATGTGGCACCATTTCTTCAAATAGTTTTATTTTTAAATTATTTCCAATTTCAACATTTCAGTACCTGGTATTAAAATATACTCGCAGCCCTTCTCCATTTTCATTTATTATTATATATTTTAAAATCCCTTTTATTTCTAAAGTCCCAAAAATATATGTTAGAAAATTCCATGATGTTACCCAATCTACTTTCTACAACCTTTTTCATGATCTTGTACAAACGGCTCAACAGGATAACGAGGCAAAATCACTTAATTTTTCTAGAATCTGAATATTTTTAAAAAAGACACGTAAAAGGTGAATTTGTTTCCGAATTGATCATGCCATCCTGGAAGAACTCCTCAAGAACTTCTATCAAACACCCTTAATAGTAGCCATACCGTCTGTAGCTTTGGGAGAAGAGTTTTTGTATTGATAACTAAAAGTTATACAACTACAAGAATATACATGAAGAAAAGAGAAGAAAAGTAATTGCACTTTAGTCCCTAACAATTGACCAAGACTACAAGTTGGTAACAAGAATTGATATATCGTTCAACTCTCCCCCTCAAGTTGGTGCATAGATATCACGCATGCGGATATCATTGTATAGAATGAACCACTAGCAACTCCATGTGTCATCATATCAGCCAATTGTTCCGCCCTCTTGATGTATGGAACCTCTATATTTTTGGAGTCGAGATTATCTTTGATGTAGTTCCTATCAAGTTCAACATGCTTTGTTCTTTCATGTTGCACAGGATTGTTTGCAATTTTAATGGCAGCAGTGTTGTCACAGAAAAGTAACATAGGCTTGTCCGGACCAAAGCCAAGTTCACTAAGGAGAAGTTTTAGCCATGTAAGCTCGGTAGTTGCATGATGTAATGCTCGATATTCTGCCTCAGCACTGGATAATGAGACCACATTCTGTTTCTTACTCCTCCAAGTCACAAGATTGCCCCCAACAAACGATACATATCCTGATGTGGATTTTCGGTCCAGTCTCGATCCAGCAAAATCAGAATCCGTGTAACCCACAATATCTAAATGACCCCTCTTTGAGTACATAATGCCCTTGCCTGGAGAAGACTTCAGATATGCCAATATCCGATTAACTGCACTCATATGCTGCTCACTGGGATTATGCATGAATTGACTCACAACACTAACTGCATATGACAAATCAGGTCTCGTGTGGGTTAGATAAATCAACTTCCCCACCAATCTCTGGTATCTCTTTGTTTGTGGGAATTTGATCGGGATAAATAGATAGACCATGGTTTACCTCAATGGGTGTGTCAACGGGGGTACAAGCCGACATACCAGTTTCTGCTAGTAGGTCCAGGACATACTTGCGTTGAGATAAGATAAGTTCTTGCTGAGACCGTGATACCTCAATGCCCAAGAAATACTTCAAAGTACCCAAATCCTTCATTTCAAACTCTTTTGTCAAATGGATTCGAAGTTTATCAATCTCACTGGGATTACTACCAGTAACAATCATGTCATCCACATACACAATGAGCATAGTAATATCACAACCATCTCTCTTATAAAATAGAGTATAATCAGCCAAGGCCTGTTTAAAGCCATACTCTTTCATTGAACAACTCAATCTTCCAAACCACGCCCTTGGTGATTGTTTTAGCCCATAAAGGGCCTTTTTCAATTTACACACATTATTCCCTGGAAGAGTGAACCCAGGAGGAGGATCCATATACACTTCCTCTGTCAAATCACCGTGAAGGAATGCATTTTTAACATCAAATTGCATCAATGGCCAATCAAGATTGACCGCTAGAGATAGAATGACTCTAACGGTATTCATCTTAGCTACTGGAGCAAAAGTTTCCTGGTAGTCAATCCCATAAGTCTGTGTGTACCCTTTGGCAACCAATCTAGCTTTATACCTATCCACAGTTCCATCTTACCTATATTTCAATGAGTACACCCACTTGCATCCCACGGTCTTTTTTCCTGGCGGTAATAAGACCATCTCCCAAGTAGAGTTCTTTTGGAGAGCATTCATTTCTTCTACCATAGCGGATTTCCACTTAGGTTTATCAAGAGCTTCCTGAAAGTGATTAGGGATAGATACAGAAGATAATTGGAGGGCAAACGCCAAATTAGTCTTAGATAAACGGTGGTACGAAATATAATCAGAGATGGGAAAGATAGCATTGGAAGAAGATTTCGAAAAACCAAACCTATCAGGCTTGTTATGGACTCGAAGAGGATATCTCCTATCCTGAGTATCAACAGTATCTAAAGCTGCAGGATTAAAATCAGAAATAGAGATAGGAGTAGAAGGGGTAAGTAGAGTAGGTACCTCATTTTCAATCTCCGAAGAATCAGATGGCACTGTAGTATCAACCTGAGGGTTATCAGGGTCTGAAGAGGGTAATATAGGAGTACAAGCATTGTCAGAGTTTCTCCTTGTATAACACTTTTGGAACAAGCGAGGTGATCTATCATCCTCAACTCGATTTTCTATTTGGGATTCAACAACTCGAGATTCTCCCCCCTTTCCAGAAATCCACACTTCCTTTTCACCTAACCACACTCGTTCCTCTTCCTTACTACTAATCTCCCCTTGAAGAGGAACTAACGACGCGTCATCAGAAAAAAAAGATTCTAATTCACAAAATTCCACATCCATAGAAACATAGTATTTTCCCGTAGGGGGATGAAAGCATTTGTAGCCCTTCTGGGAGCTTGAGTAGCCAAGGAAGACACATTTCAGGGCACGAGGATCAAATTTATCTCTGAGATGAGAATGCACATGGACATAACACACACAACCAAAAATTTTGGGACAGATATTTAAAGCAGAAGGAATGGAGTGAAATTGTGACAACATTCTTAAGGGAGTTTGAAAATCAATAATGCGAGCGGGCATGCGATTTATGAGAAAAACAGCAGTTGTCACTGCCTCACCCCAAAAAGCTTTGGAACACGCATAGTGAAACATAAAACCCGAGCTATCTCAAGAATGTGACGATTTTTTCGCTATGACCTGTAGCAGATGGAGTAGAGAAAGGTCCCCAAACATCAGTATGAACACAAGAAAAAGGAACAGAACTTTTATGAAAACTGACTTTGAAGGGTACACGATGATTTTTGGCAAAAATGCATTGTTCACACCGCATACTAGAACTAGGGATATTTGTAAATAGCTTCGGAAACAAGTGTTCTAAGTAAGTAAATGAGGGGTGACCTAATCGACAATGCCACAGAAGGATCCTATCTCTCGGAGAGGATCTACTAACCACTTGAAGACCATGGATATCCTCAGTTTGCAACTGCCTTATTCCCTCCAAAAAATACAACCCTCCTCTCTCTCTACCAGTGCCAATCGTCATCTTCGTTCGATTGTCCTGAAATACACAATTAGTAGGTGAGAAGATGACAGAACAATCAAGATGCTTTGTAATTTTACTAATAGACAAGAGATTAGTGGAAAAAGTTGGTGCAAGTAAAACGGATGAGAGAGAAAAAGTAGGTGAAAACGAGACACTTCCGGCCCCGGTAACTTTGACAGGAGTCCCATTAGCCACTTGAACAGACTGAACAGGCGGAGTTGTCAAGGAATCAAATGTGGAGGAATTACAGGTAAAATGATCGGTAGCTCTAGAATCTATGACCCAACGATCAGATGTGGTAGAAGTAGATTGCAACCCAAAGATCCCTTCCCCGGAAGATGATCGAGCAACGTGGGAAGTCATCCTTTCAAGGACAGATTGCTGGGAAAACGGAGAGTGCAGGAGCCACAAGTGCAAACAATTCAAATTCAATCTTCAACTTTGACGACTACACAGGTTTAGGGCTCGGTTTAATCAACCCGCATATCACAAGTTCACCATTTGTAGCAGAAATTAACACCTCAAGATCTTCAATTTTACAATCCGGGCTCAATTTAAACCCGCAACAATCAACACCAACAGTTCACCCTATAGCATTCGGGACCCAGATTCAAATCCATAACCTCACTCATGGTTGCCCAATAACATTGCCCAATAACAATGCCCACAAAGGATAATATGGTGGCTACAATATCACAAATAGGGAGAAGGAAGAAAAAGACACAAGGCAAAGCTCTCAACTGCACACCATGACTGATTTTTCAATCCAATTCCAAACCTTACTTGTGGTTCCCATAATATTAGCCACAAAGGAAGTATCCCAGAAGGAAGATGAAGGCGGTAGCTCAAAAAGAACAAGAAAAAGGGAAGAATCAGCTCCCTGCACTCCCAAAAACGGCTGCAAGGTCGAGCAGCAGAACCCGGCTGTACTGGAACCGCGAGAAATCACACGACAGAGAGTAAAAACGGAGAGAGACGGCGCCGGAATAGTGAGGACCAGGCTCCGACGTCAGCGCCGGAGCAGTGTTGACGCAGACTCGACGCGTCTGGGTCTGGGCAGCCGGAAAGAACGGATAAAACGGGAAACAACAGCCACCTAGGGTTCGCCGAAACTGTACCGGAGCAGGGTAGCCGTCGCCGTCGCCGAGGAAGTAGGTCGCGACTCAGGCTCTGATACCATGTAGCTTTGGGAGAAGAGTTTTTGTATTGATAACTAAAAGTTATACAACTACAAGAATATACATGAAGAAAAGAGAAGAAAAGTAATTGCACTTTAGTCCCTAACAATTGACCAAGACTACAAGTTGGTAACAAGAATTGATATATCGTTCAACTCCGTCTTTAGATAAACCCAAAGAGAAGCCATTTGGACCCACAGATTTGTCTATTGCTATCAAATACAGCTCCTTGGTTATTTCTATTTCAAAAGGACTCTCTAACTATTTCTCAATATCCCTTGAAATAGGAAATGATTCCGAACCTTCCTCCCCCACTTCACTCTCGTCTTCAGTGTATAATTTCTCAAAAAACAGATTATTTACTTCTCTATCTTCATTATCATCAAGAATCCCCCCCCTCAAACTCCAATTTGTTTACACATTCTTAAACTTCCTAAAACTTAGTAATCTATGAAAAAGTTTGCATCTCCTTTAATCCTCTATTCTTTTTCTCAACAGAGCTCTTTCCTTCCTAAGCTCTTCCGTTAGATGCCCTCGCTCTCTAATTGATCTTAGACCTCCAGTCTAGAGAAGATATTCCTTTTTTCAATCCTCAAATTTCCAAAGACTTCTCTATTCAAGCCCCTTAGTTTATCCTGACCAGCTTCGATTTTGCATAAATTTAAAGCTCTCCTACCCATCACCAACACTTTCACTCCACCAGCTTTCAAACTCATAACTGCATATCTTCAATCCATTTCATGGCGTGCTTAGAATAAATTAGAAGAAATCAGTAGGCTTCTGGGAAAATGTCAAGTGCTTAGAATAAATTAGGAAAAGTGAAGCAGTACATTTCATGAAGCATGTGGATTAATAATTTGAGAAATCTATTAGAAATATTCTCCTGCATAAATAGAGGAAGCAAAGGTCATGCATGTCATGAATAATAATAAATAAGCCGCCATTAACCCAAAAGAGCGATCCCACGACATGTTCTGAAATCCAGTCAAAATGAGTTTCCAATTTCAATTTATGGGTTCATAACCTCTATTTTATTTTATTTAATGTTTATGCATAAGTAAACTTACCAACTTCAGAGGAGGAATGTTTTCAGGAATCGACAACATTAGCTTTTCATTCCAAACTGGGTTCAGGTTATTCTTTATGACACGCGTCTTCACTGACTGCATCAGAAATACAAGTCAATGCAGAAAGCACTAGATAAACTTACACCACTTTTACATTTTCACTTTTACATTTTCAAGAGGAAAGGATAAAAAGAGTTAATAACAGAAGTATTTACTTGATTTCCCAGTGAGATCATGACATATGGGTCACTGGACATCATATCTCGCACAGCTAGGTTGGTGCCTCTCACTATGTTAACCTTAATCAATCCTACAAATTCAACCATACCTGCCTATACCACATACAAAAATAGTAAGAATTATCCACCAATTTTGAACTTAAATTCAGTGTATACTAATGATATATGAAACATAATTTATGAATCAGTATAGAATATGTTTCTGTCAGAGCATGAAATTCTTAATTTTCTTAAACAAACAAGGATGAAAATATTTTTTGAGTTGATCCATTTTCCTTCTAGTATCGATGAAGAAATTGGGAGAGAACAAGCATTGTCTTCGATGAATTTAGGTGTGCATAGAAATAAAATCAGAGCACAGTGCTTCCCCCGATTTTTCTATTTCGAATCTCATCTCAGATGTAAAAACTCATATTTTGCTGAAAAAATCATTACCGTTGAGTTACTTTTCTTTGTTGTCTTGTGCTCAGATCTTCTCCAGCTATTTCGAAATGCGTGCCCTAAACCATGAATGCGGTGATGACCAGTTTGCTTCTCGTAGTGTTTCTTCTCTGAGGATGAATGAGATTGACTCCCTGAAGAACTGCAATGTGAGGATGATGGAGATGGGAAGGGGCATGACATCTGTAAATCATGGTCCAAAAACTGTTGCATCTCATATTTTCTCCTGAGTATCCAAAAGGTGCTCTGTGGTTCAGAATTCAAATTCCACTTGATGAAGAATTGAAAGAATTGTCGTTCTTCTATACCTTATGAAGTCAGTGCGCTCCTCTATAGAGGAATCTGGTTCTGGTTTTCTATAATTATCTGGCATGTGAGCTTCATATTTCAAGTTTACAACAGTATTTCCACCCTTCTCCATTAAAGCATTAACTTGCTCATTCGTCCATTCATCCAGCTTGACGGATAATACCTGCAAAATAGACATTATTGGTAAATACAATAGATGCATGCATAGTAGCAATCAGATCAATAAAACACAAAAAAGCAAGCTACCAATCAAATTAACATCCTTTCTCCTATTCATCATCTACTGTTATTTCAATCAAACAATACTATCCACAGTGAGTGATTTGAGAATAACTACTTACAGAAATTGAGTACTCATTTTATCTGATCATAACCAATAATCAGATTAAATAGCAAATAGATCTATTCAGGGGGCTAAAAGCTCCTAAATATTAGTGGACAAGGTACCACCTGAAAGCTATTAGGTCTGTTAAGATTAAGCCATTGAATGAACAAAAAATACCAGGAAACTTTTGCTCCTCCAGTCCACATTTTTAAAAGTTGGCTAGCTAGAATGAACGTGAAATGGAAAAAATTTAAGAGGGTCAGCAACGAAGCTATACATTGTTCTCATGATAGGACTGATCATACTAAAGCTTTCCATCACTGGTCATAAAGACAAGCTTGAAATGATTCCATACTCGTTTTTCCCTATGAAGAATATTATAAATTGTATATAATAAACTTGTTTCTATTACAAAGTAAAAGATCCTATCTATAGGGGTATAAATAACTCTAAAAGGAAAGATTGCTTAATAATTATACAATCAACTATTAAGAAAAATAATCCTACACTATTGGAAAAATCATCATAGAGATTATTCTTTCCATATCTTCAACACCCTCCCTCAAACTCAATATGGTATAGCAGCAATCAAATTGAGTTCGAAAGATAAATCGATCCAATCAAATCTTCAAAATTACTTGTATGTCGACCAAACCGAACAAATAACTCAAAGTTGATGATAATGAAAAATCATCATCCACCAATCTATCCAAACTATCACCAAGACTTGAAGGAGAAATAAGATGATACTCAATCTCAATACGGATTGGAGAGGAAGAAGGAACACCCATATCTGCAAGTAACCAACGCATCCACAACTAAACCAAAGGGATGTAAATTTCAAATTCCAGTTTGACAAATACCAAATGAACTGGACACAAATTTCAAATTCCGGCTCGACAAATATCAAATAAACTAGATGCAAATTTCAAATTTCGGATATACCGAACCAACACTAAATCAAATTCCAGATGAACTAGACATATACTAAACCAAATCCAGATGAACCTGACCAAATTCCAGATGAACTGGACATATACTAAACTAAATTCCAAATGAACTTGACCAAATTCCAGATGAACTGGATATATACTAAACCAATGGGATACATCCGAAAAGAAAAAAAAAAGAAAGAAAACAACACTGGTAGCCGGACGAGCGGTTCAAGGCTGCTCGCCGGAAACGAAATTCAAAAGCTAATTTGTTTAAGATCGAAACTGCTCTAATACCATGTGAAGAATATTATAAATTGTATATAATGAACTTGTTTCTATTACAAAACAAAAGACCCTATTTATAGGGCTATAAATAACTTTAAAAGGAAAGATTGCATAGTAATTATATAATTAACTATTAAGGAAAATAATACTTCAACATAGAGATTACTCTTTCCATCTCTTCAACATTCTCCAATACCTATGATCTGATAATACTTGTGTGAATGTAGTGACTTGTTAAGGAGTGAGAACTTTATCCTTGTGGAAAAAGTTATCCCATTTCTCAAGACATCTACCATGTATCTACTACTATGATTATATATACTAAGCAAGAGATCAATTGGCGGATTTAGAATTTAAACATTTTGAATTCCCTAAATAAGCTATATGAAAGTATTGCGCACTACACATTAGTGGAAGGGCAAGAATGCGTTTTAATTAGACAATTATATTTCTGAAGTGTTACTATTAAAATTACATGACGCTGTAGCCTCATTTATAACTTATTCACATTTTACTTCTCAACTGTTCAGCATTGTTAAACCCCCTTTCCTAGTCAGAATTCTTCCCCATATTCTCCAACAAAAGCAATAGCGTTACACACTCTTCTCTATAGTTTCACTAAAGTCCAAATCCCTTAATTTCCTTACTGAAATTACAACTACACGTCATTAAATCATTGCGGGAAAAATGAATAGGAGCCATAATGGCAAGAGTGTTATTACCCCTACTCATTCCACTGCTTCTACGTCCTAGTTGGGATCCTACAAGATCAATATCAATGGATGCGTTATCATTAGAGATCATGTTGGACAATGTAACCGAGCCTTCTTTTCTTCCTACGACGGCTTCCAGGTTCTTGAGGCTAAGCTGCGAGCCATTCTTGATGGTATCCTTATTGCGGATCAATTAGGACTCTCGGGTTATGGATCGAGGCAGATTCTTCTACCGCGATACACTGCATCATTCATGGTGGAGGACCATGGTCCATCCAGGCTATTCTCAAACAGGTCAGACATCTGGTTTCCCTCAATCATGCCACAATTTCCCATATCTTTCATGAAGAAAACAAGGAGCTACTCACTAGCCGATAAGGGATGGGAGTCGCGATGCTATCTAGGTATGGTCCTCTTGAATTGCCACGATGTGTTCGCAGCCTTGTATAGATTGAAAGTTATAGGTTGCACACGATTAGAGGCCTCTAGGTTATTTTGCTTAATTGATTACATTTGTTCAGTAGTACCTCCTCATTAACTACTTTAAGATTACATTTTGTAGACTTGTTTGTATACATTTCTATTTTATAATTCGATGTCTGGAGAAACCTAACTCTCTTTGTCCTGATGAAGCCTAAAAACATGTCGGGACGGTGTTTTTGTTTTTTGTTACAAAAAAAAGGATGAAACTGGTGCGGAAGTGTTTAGAAATTCTTGTAATAAGAATTAAAAATAAGAATTATATTACAATAATCTTGTTTTGTATTGATATATGATTGATTGATTAAAAAGTATACAATACCCCTATATTTATAGGCAAAATTATCCCTAATCCTATTAATAAAAGGAAACTAAATTTTAAAAGGAAATAAACTAATCTTAATCTAAACAAAATTTAAAAATAAACCTATTATAACTAGAAAAGGAAATTAGAAAAGATAATTTAAAAAAGACAAACTCTTAGAAAAAGTGGAACTATTAATTGTAGTTGTGATATACTACATCAATCTCCTCCACTTGAATAAAAGTCGACCTCGAGTTTTGTGGATATAAGGAAAACTCATCTGGAGGAAAGTATTCGAAAATATCAGCAACATTGAAAGTATTAGAAATGTTCATATCAACGGGAATGTCAACTTTGTAAGCGTTATCACCAATCTTTTAAAGAATGCGAAAATGATCAATCTTCTTATCTTTAAACTTATTGTAAGTGCCAACAGGAAAACGATTTTTGCGGAGATGGATCATCACCAAATCACTTTTGTTGAACAGCTTAAGGCGTTGATGTTGATCTGTAGCAATCTTGTAGTTGTATCGAATATTATCATCTTCTAAATTTTGTTTTACTTCGTGATGAATTTTTTGAATACGTTCAGCAAACTCTTCTGCATTAGAATTAACATTCGGAAGTCGAATCAAATCTACTGTATGTCTTGGAACACTAGTGTAAACAACTTCAAATGGAGTCTTCTTGGTGGATCGATTAAGCATACCATTAAAAGCAAATTCAATCTGTGGAAGGGCAACATCCCATTGCTTTGGTTTATCTCCACGACCGCTCGAATCATATTGCCAAGAGTTCGATTAGCCACCTTTGTTTGTCCATCGGTTTGTGGACGACTCGCGCTACTAAATTTTAAAGTAGTGTCAAATATTCTCCACAATGTCCTCCAAAAGTGACTTAGAAACTTGACATCTCTATCAGAAGTTATAGAACGAGGAATACCGTGTAGGCGAATGATCTCACGAAAAAATAAATTAGCCACGTAAGAAGCATTTGCAGTTTTCTTACAAGGGAGGAAGTGAGCCATTTTCGAAAATCGATCAATTACAACCAAAACAGAATCAACTCCTCGTTGAGTTCGTGGAAGACCGAGAACAAAATCTATAATGAGATCTTGCCCCATATTGTTTCTGGAATAAGCAATGGGGTATAGAGTCCAGTATTTTAAGCTTATCCCTTAGCTTTCTGACATATTGGACAACGCTGAACAAAACGACTAATGTCTATTTTTAGCTGGGGCCAATAAAATCTTTCTTCAACCAAGCTGATTGTCTTATCTCGATCAACATGTCTTCCTAATCCGCCTGCATGCAATTCTCGAATCAAGTGCTCAAGCAAAGAAGAACGAGGAATGCATAATTGCGTTCTTTTAAATAAGAATCCTTCCTGAAGTAGGTAATCGGGTATAAATTCTCTATTAATGCATCGAGTCCATATATCGCCAAAATCCTTATCAGTTGCAGAAAGTTTCTTTAAGCAATCGAACTCAACTACTTCTGTACTAATTGTAGCTAAAAGAGATGCTCGTCGACTTAAAACGTCTGCTACTTTATTCTGTTGCCTGATTTATACTTTATAGCAAAAGTGAATTTATGTAAAAAGGTGATCCATCGAGCGTGCATTTGATTCATTGTTTTTTGAGAATTGATAAATTTCAAAACTTGATCCGTAAATAATACAAATTCTCATTTTATTAAGTAATGTTCCCAATGCTTTAAAGCCCAAATAACGGCATAAAATTCTAACTCATAAGTAGTCCACTTTTGCCGAGATTCACTAACCATTTCACTGAAAAATTCGACTGGGCGACCTTCTTGAGATAATACTGCTCCAATTCCCATAACTGAAGCATCGCAATCAATTTCAAATACTTTTTCGAAGTTAGATAGTGCCAACACCGGTTAGTGCATAACTTGATTTTTATTGCCTCAAAACTATTTTCTTGCGCTTTACCCAACTGAAATTGACCCTTTTCAAGCAATCGGTAATAGGTGCCATGATTGCACTGAATCCTCGAATGAAATTCCTGTAAAAAGTTGCTAGTCCATGAAAGTTTTGAACTTCTCTCACGGTTTTAGGAACTGGTTATTCGTGTAATGCTTTCACCTTTAATTCATCAACCTGGATACCATCTTTTCCCACCATAAAGCCAAGAAAGGACGGAGAGAACTTTGTTAAGATGTGGCAAGTGCTCATCTTCATTCTTGCTGTAGATAAAAATATCATCAAAATAAACCATTACAAATTTTCCCACATAAGGACGAAGAACTTGGTTCATTAATCGCATGAATGTGTCTGGTGCGTTCGACAGCCCAAATGGCATCACTAACCACTCGTAGAGACCATCCTTGGTTTTGAAAGCTGTCTTCCACTCGTCACCAGTTCGAATACGGATTTGATGATAGCCACTCCTTAAATCAAGTTCGGTGAATACCACTGCCCCTTGTAATCTGTCGAGCATATCATTAAGATGCGGGATAGGAAAGCAATACTTGATTGTTATTTTATTAATAGCACGACTGTCTATACACATTCGCCAACTGTCATCCTTCTTTGGAGTGAGTAAAGCGGGAACTGCAGAAGGACTCATACTCTCACGGATCAATCCTTTATCAAGTAACTCATTAACATGTCGCTGCAACTCTTCATGTTCAACTGGGCTCATTCGATAATGTGGTAAATTAGACAAACTAGCTTCAGGTGCCAAATCAATATGATGTTGAATGTTTCGCATTAGGGGGAAACTCGCTTGGTAACTTGTCAGGTGCTATATCAGCAAAATCAGCAAGTAACTTTTGAACTTTGGCGGGAATCTGTATAGTTGCTTCCAAGTGACCTTTAACTACTAATGCTAATATAGTGCTTGGCTCTTTTACTTGGTCAAAGAATTTTGGGCCTGATATGTTGGTAAAAAGTAGTTTATCTTCCTTGATAGCAGGATTATTTTCCAAAGGTTGAGATTGTGGTACTAAAACGATCTTCTTATCAAACCACCAAAATATGAAAGTGTTATCTCGCCCCTTAAAAGTGGCATCAACGTCATAATGCCATGGACGACTCAATAATATATGACAAACATCCATATCCACCACATCGCACATGATCTCATCTTTGTAATATTTTCCAATCGACAAAGGAACCTTACAGATCTCTAGAACTTGAACTTCTGGGCCTTTTTTAATCCATGCAATCTTGTATGGAGAAGGGCGTCTCTCAGTCTTCAGATTTAGAGCTTTTACCATTGCTTTGGAAATGATGTTCTCACTACTACCGCTGTCAATGATTACGTTGCATACCTTACTACGAATAGTGCATCGAGTCCGGAAGATTTTGTGCCGTTGTGAGTTATCAGGCTTTTTGGGTGCAAGTAAAAGGCGTTGGACAATGCACGCCAACTCTTCCCCAGTATCTGCATCTGTAACATTACCACCCTCATAGTTACCGTCTTCAAAATTTTGTTCTTCATCACTTTCGCCCTCATCTACAATGTTAATGGATCGCCTGTTTGGACAGCTATTTGAAAGATGTCCTGGTTGGTTACACTGATAGCACTTTCCAAGATTAGGACGCGCACAAGGGTTATTATTTGTTCGTTGCTGTGCTTGGTTTCTGTTTTGGATGTTAGATTGAACAGGTTCTGAAGTTCCATTGTGATTCTGTTCCGAATTCTGAATTGGTGTTGTACCTTTACTGTTATTATTATTGTTGCCTGATGTCGTTGCACCCTTTGGAGTAGAATAAGTTTCTTGAATTGGTCGTCGAAAATTGTCTTGAGTACGGGCTGTGGTCCTATTCATCTGATTTTCCACTTTCATTGCTAAATTGACTGCATCTGTCATGGTCCAAACCTCATGAAGAGCTAGTCGATCTTGAATGACTAATTTTAGGCCTCCTATATATCGAGCAATTAATTGAGCTTCAGTTTCAGACAAATTAACTCGGGCATTTAAACGATCGAATTCCTCTGTGCACTCGTTTACTGTTCGATTGTTCTGTCGACAATTCTGATATTACTGGTACAAAAATTGCTCATAATCTGGAGGGGAAAATCGTCTTTGCAATAACTGTTTCATCATGGGCCAAGTTTGCACACGTTGTTTTCCTTGTCGTTGACGATTAAATTGAAGTTGTTCCCAACATACCGAAACTCCACCCTTTAATTTATACGCCACGAGCTTAATTTGGCTTTGTTCCAAGATATTCAAATAGTCGAAAAAATTTTCGACGGTATGAATCCAATCCAAAAAATCTTCAATATTTAATCAGCTGTCAAAACTTGGCAAGTCCATTTTCATCTTAAATTCTTGAACATTTGTATCCCGATTATTAGCCCTTGGTCGAAAATTATCTTCTTCTTCGGATGAATAATCGAAACCCCGTGGCCTTCTTTGTTGAAAGCCTCTATCCCTCGGCTGAAAATTAGGAGCTCGATCAAAATTAACTCATCGGTCAACATTGTAACCACGGTCAACATTATAGCATCGATCAAAATTGTGTGGGTCAAAATTGATTCATTCCCTAAAATCAAATCGCGTCTCTGCCTCTCGCTCAAGATTTTTCGTCGGAGCTCGCAGTCGGTCACTGAACTCCTCGTCACCGCTGATTGGAACCCTTCGCCGGAGGTTACCTTCATCTCGCCTGTTTCTTCGCTCGTAAAACCATAGAGGGACATCCTCGTAAAGGTCGCGATTCGCGACTGGGTTCGCTCGCTAGGCAACTTGATCATGGATTTCTAGGTTCTCTGCCGAAGTCGATTATCTGCAAGGGGTCGGAGTCCTTCCCCCACACCTGGGTCGACGTTGGGCTGGGTAATAGGGCCCGTCTCCCTCCTTACTGGAACTCCATGATTTCTTACATTCAAGTTAGCATCTTCTTCCTCATCGTCGGAATCTGAGTTGATATCTCTCTGTACATATTTCTGCCCACCCGTCTGTTCTGCCCTAGGTGCATGATGCTTCTCAATAGTCATCGCAGTTAGCATCTGCGTGATATTGCGAAGAGCTTCATCCATCCCTTCTAGTCGTTGCTCAATTTTTTCAAACCTCCGTTCATTGTCGGTAGTTTGTTTGCCACTCGAACCGTCCTCAGCCATCAGATTGAGGTGAATTCCTTGCTCTGATACCAATTTTGGTGCGGAAGCATTTAGAAATTCTTGTAATAAGAATTAAAAATAAGAATTGTATTAGAATAATCTTGCTTTGTATTGATATATGATTGATTGATCAAAAAATGTACAATACCCCTATATTTATAGGCAAAATTATCCCTAATCCTATTAATAAAAGGAAATTAAAATAAGGAAACTAAATTCTAAAAGGAAATAAACTAATCCTAATCTAAATAAAATTTAAAAATAAACCTATTACAATTAGAAAAAGAAATTAGAAAAGATAATTTAACAAAAACAAACTCCTAGATAAAGTGGAACTATTAATTGTAGTTGTGATGTACTACATCAAAACTATACTCAGGCTTGTCGAAGGGAATCTAATTGTCTCTATGTAATGAAATAGACCCAAAGTTCAAGGGTTAAAATATCTATTTTAATTATACATATTATTAGCATCAAGGACTCCCAGTAATAAAGTTACATATTATTTTGGCCTATGCTCAAAAATAAAACTATACATGACTCGACTTCTCAAGGGAAACTCCATGGAATATAATGTCGCATTCTGCTCTCAGTCATGTCTCCTCCATGCTGTTAGACTGAAATACCAACTGCATTGCTCCACTAGGCTAGCTACTTAAGAACTTTATTTTTTATGGATGGAATCTAGTACCTGCATCCTACATGGATACAGGTCTAGTTTGAGGGCTTTGCATGGTCCCCAGATAAATGGGTTGCAGCTAATATTATCATTTTGTCTCATTTCAAATATTTTCTAAAAAGAGGAGATTTGTAGCATCAGAGTATCTTTCGAATTTTATTACTAATAATGTTCAACATATCCAGTTCTGGCAGATTTTCTCTTTTCTTTAACACATTCAGTTGGTGATGCTTTCTGATATTCCTATAATATTTACGGAAATCTTTTGTGTGCAACCAACTATTCAATGCAGCTTACTTGAATGATCCAAGTTAGGTCTTCCCAAATATTTCCAGAGATGAAATAATAGCTTGACTGTATACTAATCAGTAAGAAGAGTAATGAAGAAAATAATTCCCAGGACAATGATCTATTTTACTGCCTATAAATGGAAAAATGAGAGATTCATACGACCCCACCTATCAAAACCCACCACCCACTCACACACAAATGTGTATTCCAAGACACTTCAGTTATCTCAGGATTTAGAATCTTGCTCCCTCTCCTTAAAGGGAGATCATTCGAGGCTTCCTCAACTTATGACTATGATGGCCTTAAGAGAAGATTATTAGTGAACAAATAGATCAACCACATATAATCAATCAACTCGGATATATGCAAGTGATACACGTTTTTCTTACCATATTTAGCTTCGAGAGGCTTCCTTGGATGAATCAGAATAGGTATTTGCTGTTGAAAGTTAAAGCCTGCTCATACTTTATTCTAATCTTCAGTGTTTTTGTTAAAAGTCTTTCCAATATTCATATCTCAGCTTTTTTAAGGAACCATTAAACTAAAGATTATGTCTAGTGTATCGATCAAGAATGGAAAAACATAAAATTTTTGAGTACCACACCTTAGATATATGCACCCCAAGGCTTCTATGAACTCCAGAGCACTTGATGCAAATAAACGCTCCAAGGCTCAAGGATCTGTTCACAAAAGTTAAACTATAAGTAACACCGTGTTACTGGAAAATAAAAACAAATCATAAAAGAGAAAACAAAGACAATTTTTTTTAAAAGAAACTAGCAAGCACCAAATGATTGATATATATGCATCCAAAAGTTACAGCATAGATTTCAAAGAAATGGGTAACGAAGAAAGGTGACTGGGGTTTGAGTAATTATCCCTCTAAACATGTTGACTTAAATGTAGTTGCTATCATAAGATGATATTACATAGTTGCATTCTTTGATTGCATATAGATGTATCTTGGGGCGCATTATTTGTCAAGCAATTTAGACAAGGTTAGAAAATGTTACAGAAATTGCAAACAATTTAGAATAATGTGAAGATGTGGAAGATAACAATTTTGTAACACCCCATACCTTTTTAATAAGCCGCAAGTTTAGGGAGTCAACTAGAGAGAACTGAAAAAATAAAGAAAAGAAAAGAGGGGGAAGCTTTCAAGTTTTGTCAAAGAGGTCATCTACGAGTAGTTTCTACATATTGAATTTTAAAATTCAAGGTAAGTGTGTTAATTAAATTGTCCATTCTGTTATTAAATTTTGAAATTAAGTTTTATAGTCCTTTATGAATGAGTTTACGATAAGGGACCGAAGTTTAGCAGACACGCACAAGAAATCTCTACTATCTAAGTTAGGTATTTTTCTTGTCTCCTTTGTGAATGATATGATTCGTTTACAAATTTTAATACGCTTCACAATTTACGGTTGCACACTTATTGGGATTTTGTTATCTTGCCCTTTACATTTCTTCCTTTCAGGTAACTAGGATCGAGGAGGTTGGAGTTTGGGAAGTGGGCCAATGGTGTAGAGATTTTAATTAATAAACCCTTTTAAGAGTGTGTTTGGAACACATTCTTTTGAAAGAATGTATTATTGAATAGTAGATTGATGGAGAACATGTAGTTAAAAATGAAGGAAAAGTTATTGATGTGATGGAAAATATTATTTTATTGAAAAATGTGTGATTGAAAATGAGTAGAAGAATGAGAATGAAAAAAATATGTGTACCAAATAGAGCCTAAATAAGAATGTTCAAAAACTCATTATTTCATTTACATATTGTTAGCAAAATTACATTAAATCTACGACATGGCAATAAGTTTTATCTATATTACTATTAAAGCAGTTGATTTTAAAGTTAGTTCGAAGTGTTTAATGAGATATTTACGTATACATTGGTGACATTCGAGATCCCTAAGATTCGCGGCATCATAAATATTTCCTCATTTATTTCAAATAAAAATTTGTACAATGTTATACATAAAACACTAGTTGGCTCAAATTACCTAAATATGAAATATCTAATTCAACCTCTGATTTTATTATTTTAAATATATACAAATGTACAATCTTACAAGGGTGTCCTCAACTCAAATTTTAAAGGACATTAAAAATCCATATAAATTTGTTGTGACCAATTCAGATTTTTAAGGACATTAAAAATACATATAAATTCGGTGTCCTCAAATCAGATTTTCATATATATTCCATTAAAATCTAGATGTCCCCAATATAAGTGAATTCGTAAGGATTTCATTAATCAGAATGATTTTAATAGATTTTAGTTGATTTCGTGCCCAAAAATATAAATACCGAGATCTGTCGGAATTTGAGTTAGACCTCTCAAATTTCAATGGATTTAAAGCCTACAAATATAAATTCAAATTCTTTATATCTCTGACAAAAATAAAAGAAATTAAACTAAGTAAGAAATTAAAAAAATATATAACATTAAATTGTAATAAACTATCTCATTTTCAATTTCCTTCTCGAAATCCAAAGTTGGAGAGAGAAGGAAATGAGAAATTGAGTTCTCTTAATTCTCATCACTTTTATTATCAGATTGAAATAATTTTTAATTTGTTGAAATTTATTTGTTTGATTTTGTATATTGTAATTTTATTCAATTTTCAGATGGAATTGATTTTTAATTTATTGATATTTATTTTCTTGGTTTTGTAGATTGATGAAATCAGTTCATTTAAATGACAAAGCTATGAATTTTTTCTAAAAGACAATAAATTTGTTATTTCATTTTCTAATTAAATTTTTTTAGAAGTTTTCATTTTGGGGTGATCTATTAAGAAGTTATATCATTATACAGTAATCATAAGAAACCATTAAAATCTTCTGTTAAAATCTTAAGAAAAAATGTAGAACTCTATTCAAATCCATGGATATCTATAATCTTAAGAAATGTATTGAACTTTTAGTTGAGGTCACCGTCCTTAGTAACGGAAAATTATAAAGCATGTAGCCAATACTAACAAGTTTTCTTACCTAAGAGATAGCAATTGCATGAATGGAAATGGCAGTAAAACTTTTCTGGTTTATACTAACTCAGAAATAGTTAAAGAATAACAAGCACAATCAATATGAAATTACTTTTCCAACTATATGAGACCTAAAATGCTCAATAGGAGGATCGTAAATGCAAAAGGGCAAAAAAAAAAAAGGCAGGTTTGGCTAAAAAAATACATTGCACCATAGAGAGTCATCCTTGATTATAATTATTGTGGCTGTCACCTTCCATATATATTTTTGTATCGAAAAACTCTCTTCCCTGTCAAATTTCTCTTCTTGAAGCTAAGTATCACCTGAAAAGGCGTGCTTGTCAATGAAGTAATATCCATGATAGTTTTTTTATGAGTGCGTGGAGGATAACATTTATACCCCTGAGTAGTGGAGTACGCTGAGAGAATGCAATTTAGAGCTCCAGGATCAAGTTTTGTGAATTGAGCATAACATACACAATCATTTTTTTATGGATGGATAACCCCGTAACCTTGGAATTAGGGAAGAGGCCAGAAAGTATGCCCATTGGGGACTGGTATCCAAGAACTCTTAATCGAAGTGATTTACTAAATAGGCACCCATGAGAACAAACTTTCATTTAAAACAAGGGAGACCTTGCTACTTCAAGTAAGTTCCTTTTGTTTCTTTATATAATTCCATTTTGTTGGAAATCAACACAAGAAATGTGGTGGAGGATCCCTTCATTTTAAGGTAAGTGAATAGGCTGTCTTTGAAGTATTGCCTCCCCCTTAGGCATGAATTTTTGCCTCAAACTGATTTTTCTACAACTTTTTCAAAACAATAAAGCTAACCCTTCCCAATAAATTTAGTGTTGGATAGATAATTTCGCCACTCCATTCGATACATTTCTAGATCTATAGGATGAACTAAAGCAACATCCTTAGCAACTTTGACAAAACATGTTATTTTTAATCTATCCCTCTTCTCACATGTTTTATACTGATCCCGTCACTTTTGTAACCGAGGGCCTCAAATTTTGCCTTCATTAGATATATGTGTTAAGGAAATAAATATATTAGAATAACATAGATTAGGGGAGGATATAATTAGGTTTATTTTGTTTCCATATTTGTATCTATTCCCATACGTGTACTCTTGATTTCTCTATATAATGAAAGTAAAAGAGAGGAAGAAAATAATCTTCTACTCTATAAAGTTTTAACAAAACCTGTTTATCAACACGGTATCAGATTCATAGCTCCTAGGGTTTGGTAGTTTCTTCTTCTTCTTCATACAATCGTGTGTCTTTGGTTGAATTGTGAAGTTCTTTGACTGCCTCTTTTTGCAGAAATCTGGTGTTTGATTGTGCGTGTGATTGCACCAGTTGGGTGGTCCTGTTGTGGTTCGGTTGTTGAGAACTTCTGAATCTTTGTTGCTGTTGTTAGGCTATTATTTTGTGGAATTGGGATGTTATTTTGGACACAGTCTGGTTGGTTTGAGTTTGTAGGTTGATTTATGGGCTCTAGTTATTTCAAATGAAGAGTGGGCATGTTGACTCTTTTTGGGTTCTTGGTTTGTTGTGGGTTCATTTAATTATTGTTGATTTTATTGTTGGGCTTGGTTGTGGGCCAATTTCTGATTCTTTAATTATTAGTTAGTGTGGATAGTATCATGTCATCCAAGATGGAGATGTTCAATATGAATGGCCTCATAACGCCTAAAAAATTGAATGAAAGAAATTATACTTATTGGGCTAGGTGTGTCGAGGTCTTCTTGAGTGGTAAGGGTTTATTTAACTACTTGATTTTAGGCAAGCCATCTATCAAGTCCTCAGAAAGTGATTCTGTAAAGGCTTATTCTACTCTCAATGATCGATGGGATCAAGAGGATAACGCAATCATTGGACTTATGATTAGTAATATTGAACCTCATATTAGGTCTTCAGTCCTCTATATGTCTACGGCTAAGGAAATTCGGGAACATATTAAACATATACATTATGGGACTAGAAATGTTACTCGAATCTATAAAGGCTCTTTCAGCCTCGTTGAATATTATAATAAGTTTTTGGCTGTGTATCAGGAGATGAACGTGCATCAACCTCTTTCTTGATCTGAAGATCAAGGAAAAACAGCAAAGACATCAATGTTGTTAAATTTCTTATTGGCCTTCCGCCAGAGTGTGTGGCAGTCCGGGCGCAGATATTAGGTGAAAAACAGCTTCTCAGTCTTGTAGAGACATTCTCTCTTATTCAAAGCTCTACTTTATCGTATAGTACACCCAGTGGAGATCGTTCGGCTTTTATTGCTCGAGGTGACTCATTCAAGGGTGGACGTGGTTTTAGCCTTCACGAAGGACGAGACACTAAAGGTCGTTCAGGAAATTGTGAACCTCAAAAATGTACTCATTGTGGTCGTATAGGCCATTCTATTGATTATTGTTGGGACTTACATGGCAAACCATCTGAATCGGCCAATCATGTCTCGTCTAATGAGGCCATAACCCTGTATCTGGACCTATGACCAACTCTAGTTCAGCACCAGAGTCTGATTTCATATATATACCACGGGGTCAATATGCAAAGTTCTTAGCTCATAAACAAAGCCACTTCCACTTCTATGGCCACTCTCGGTTAGTCGGGTACTGCATCTTCTAACTATCTATTGTCGTCCTCTCACTATCCATGGATTATAGATTCTGGAGCAACTGAACCTACGACTGGTTCGTCTACTTCCCTTCTTGATTACCATCCTGTTACTTCTTCCAAATATGTTACTCTTGCTAATGGTTCTTGAATTAGTGTTGCACGCTCAGACAATGTCTATCTTAGTCCTAATCTTGATCTATCAGCTATCCTTCATGTTTCAAGCTTTCCATTTAGTTTATTTTCTATTAGTAAAATTACCACAACTCTTCAATGTTTTGTAACCTTATATCCTTCCTTCTGTGTTTTTCAAGATCTCAAGATGAAGAGAATGATTGGAATGAGACATGAAGTTGGTAGCTTGTATTACCTGGATCTTTCACATGTCTCTCCTCCTCGAGCTCTCCAGTCTTCTGTTTCACCCATGCAGTAGCATTGTCGTCTTGGTCACCATTCTCTTTCCACTTTAAAACTTAATTTAATAGAAAATCCATATTTTGAGATCAAATAATGCCAAAGAATATATGTCTACTCTTTTTCATCCTATCTCTCTTCCAAATGTATTATTCATCAAGCATCTTGCGCATATACTCCACAATATAATGGAGTTGCAGAACGCAAAAGTCGTCATTTGTTAGAAGTTACTCATGCTTTTCTTTGTCATATGCATGTTCTTAAACAACTTTGGAGTAATGTTGTACGTACTGCATGATATCTCATTAATCACATGCCATCCTCTATTTTGGACTGTGCATCTCCCTCTCTCTTTTGTTTTCCTCCTCTCCATAGTAATTGTTACCTCTCAAGATTTTTGAGTGTGCTTGTTATGTTCATTACTTTGGCCCTGGTGATGACAAACTTGACTCTTGGTTTATGAAATGTATTTTTCTTGATTACTCCCAAACACATAAAACGATGTGATCCAATGTACGGATGCAACGAGGGTGAACCCAGGGAAGGATCCGTTTATCATCGAAGGAGGACAGATGACTCGATCAAGGGCAAAACAGGTCAAGGAAGCGATGGAGTTGCTGGCTCAAGCTACGGTGGACGAGACATTGACTAGGACAAGCCAAACGTCAAGTTCCATGTTGGGCTCGGGAGGCAGAAAATAAGGAGGCTGAAATTCATAACTATGCGACCACATAGTTATTTAAGCCATGCGGTCACATAGTAACCAACCGAAACTCAAGGGGCAAAATTTTGGCTTCCATGTGACCTCACCAAAATGTACCATGCGGTCACATGGTTCAAAAGGGTGAAGAAAATTTCCTTTTCACGAATTTTCCTTAATTTACTAGAATTCTATTTTATCGCAATCTTTTGTAATCCCAACAAGTTATTTTCGGTTCAACTAGGGTTTTAGGTTTTTCCTATAAATATTGACATTATATTTATTGTATGAACAATCTACATTATTATTATTGAGGATTAATCGTGAGACTTTTAGCTTTCAAATCCCTTATTCTTCATTAAGCAATTACGAACTTATCAAGATTCGATTTCTTGTGGCGTTCAAACATCCGGGTTAGACTCATAAGTCGCGTAATCAAGAGGTCAACATATTGTGGCGATTGTGTTGGTTGTTTGGTTCATTAATTTTGGGTCGAGTCCAAACCTCGATTTATTGGCTTTCTTGGGTTGGTTCTAATCTCGTTGTGGGTTGCGTAGTTACTATTGCTACGTGGTTCTCATCAGAAAGGGTATCGGTCTACAATCCTTCTCTACAACGCTACTTTGTAAGTGCAGATGTTACTTTTGATGAATCTACACCCTATTTCTCTAATCATAGTACATCTCCCGAATACACTCAGGATCCCATTAACTTACCCGTACCATATCTACCGATTGGTATTTCTCTAGAATTAGACTCTTCTCTGTCTACTATACCGGAGTTGTCCTCATCTCATAAAAAACCACCTCCTCCTTTACAAGTTTATACTCGACGGCCTAAGTCACCATGCCCAATCATCCTAGAAAATGCAACTAAATTTCTGCAAGTTCTGTGGCTTCCCACGCAACTTCCAGCACACAGATCTTGTGCGCCTTGGTGTCTGACAGTAATTTCACCAATCTTTGATTGTAGCTTTCTTGTCCCCTAAGTTGGAGCGAAGTTCAGACCCACCCAGTTCTTTACAGCTTACCTAGCTTCAGAGGTATGCAAAGGTATCATATAGGTTAGGAAAAGAAACTGTTTCTACCACCTATCCACAAGGTTGATGATACTCAGGAATTAGGCCTATTGGGAATCGAAACATCCATTCCTTCTCTTATACTTCTCTATATATGCATAAATCTAATCTTGTAAATAGGCTTCTATAAGGGAGCTGATGTAATTTGCGATATTTCAGGAGCCTTTCTTGATGTTATGAACAATTACTTCTGATCTCAAAATCTGAGATGCAAAACCACCACCTCCCTTAAGAGTATGTTCTGCCCTCTCCAATATATCCTTCGTATCATACAGATAACTAAAAACTATTCCAGTCTTTGGCTGCATAGAATGGAGCAACCAGGACATCAACATGGAATTTTCAGCCTCCCAAATATCATATTTAGGGTCTTCAAAGGCAGGTAGCTGTAATGAATTTGATCTTCCATTTACTCATTAGAGATATTTTCACAAACACTTGCAATCCCATATAGCTTTGCCCATTCAGTTTGGAAGTGGCAATCTGGAAGTTAGGATTTCCAGAAAGAATGGAAAGCTCGTCTAGGTTTGGTAGGTGGCCACCATTTTAGAATTACTAGTTATTTCAGAAATTTAAGAAACAACTAGAAATCTCTATTTAAAAAGAGGGAGAAACAAAAGCAGTGGCAGTGAAAGCCAGAGAAAAAAATACTAGTAACAATGAAAAACACAAATAAAAGTTGCAAAGACAAAACAAAAATAAAGGCGGGAGAAAGGGACTGGTAGAAACAAAGGCTACAAAGGGCAAAACTTTTCGTAAAGAAGCTATTATACCATGAAGAATTACAAGATGCAAAATTCTGTCCCTCTCAAAAGAATAGGGATGCATGCTTAAATGTACATAATAGTTGACTAAAACTCCTAAATAAGAAAATACGTAAAAATCCAAATTTTTAGGATCAGAAAATATTTTAGACTTGTGCATCTTATGAAAATAGACAAAGAAAAGGAAATGGAACAAGTAAAGTCAAATCTGTCAATATGAATAAATATTACTAGTCTTTTCTTTGGAATGCGCCAATAAATAATACAAAGCAAGGAATCCAGTAAGTGATAATGTCTGAGACTTACACCCATTTCGGATCTCGAGATCCACAATCTGCACAGGATCTATTACCGGGTTCAGTTAACAGACACTCTAGCCGCCCTTGAGGACCTGAATAGTTTAATGCACATGAGTTAAATATTGCAACCTGAAGATAATTCATATAGGGTTCCTCTCAGGAGAAAAATAACCCAAAACACTAATTATTATGCCCTTATCTGTCTCATAATGAATAATGATAATTATATATATTTAATATACATTATTGGAAATTGGAATAAGTGGGAAAATTATCCATGCTGAATTCGGAACAATAATGGAAATATTAACAAGCAGACAAATGTTGAGTTGCTCGTGTGAGGGAATAGAAATAATCCTTTCTCAAGCCATGACTTTTGTTATTATTAAAGCTTTTTTTAGTTTCATTCGAGAAACTATTTATAGTATAAGTTGCATTGCATCACACTGAATACATCATTACATGATGATAAATGACATATTTGAGAAAGGGCAAACAATAGAGGGTGAGATAATTTTATTTGGAAACTTGCTCCAAAATTTGAATCTTCCATGTTGATGAATGCTCCACACTCACGATATTTATACCACTTAATTCGTTATTTTGTTAACCTTGAGAAAGTTTTAGGGTTTTTTATGTGTGTTTTGATGTTGTGATGCAGGTTGGTAAGATTAAAGAAAATAAGCAAAAGTTTGAGAAATGACTAAATTGTAAGAGATTCAAAGTTTGGGGGCTAAAGTGCAAATACTCAAAAGTTGCGCCGAATCTCATGATGAAGATTTGAGAGTGTTAATGGTCAATTGGATGGAGAAATATGTCAAAGGGATCAAAAATAACCAAAGAGTGATCACACATCAAATTTCAACCGAAAGAGTTTTGCTCCGGATTTTTAGTCTCATATTGAGACTCACTTTTGACATGGTAAACAATCGAATTGGAGGATGATGTCTAAAGAAAAGTTGTAGCCCAATGAATTAGCTTTCCATCGCATCTTGAATCACCTCAATCGGATATCGGAATAAAACATTATGATAAAAATACTGAAAGAAGGTACAACTGCCATTTTTACCCGAATCAAGTGCCCAAGCACCAGCCCTGGCCGCCTAGGCGTCCACTACTCTGATTTTCAGCAGAATGGATGGCGCCCGACCCAAGAAAGAGGAAAATTTGAAATTTTAAAAGATTTTCGGCCCGATCAAACCCTATTTCGTCTTGCAACTTGCGGACACTATAAATACCACCATAAAGACCTAATTTTGGATATTGGAATGAGAGAAAAGATACAAAAAGATTGAATCTCCAAGGACAACAATAAGAAAGAATTGAAGAAATCAAGTAAAGAAATTGTTGAAATCATAAAAGGGACTTCGATTAGCACTTCAAAAGAGCTCTTTCTTACCTTTTCTTTTATGTTTTCCATTATAAATTATATGGATTTCATGTTCTATTTCATGAGCTAGATAATTTAGCTAGGGTTTGATGTAGCCAACTTGAGATTATGGTTTGATGAATATATGAATTATTTCTTTTGGAATTTCCCACTTATATTTAGCCTCCTTTTGGTAAGCATTTTTCTACAAAAAAAATGCATTTTTTGTGTCAAATCACACATTTTTTGTATCTCTTTCCAGTCATGGACCCCGCTTGATGTGAAAGAAAAAATGTATTATTTGAAGAAAGAATGGCTCCTAAACGGAGCTTTAATTGTGTTATGATTATAATGTTTTCAATTACCTGATCAATAATTGAATGAATAGATGCTAATCAATTCCGGCACTCGAGAGGGGAATTTAGGCGTGATCATAAGATTGACACAACGTAGGTTTTATGGGTTTCGAGAGAAAATGTAAAATCTATGAAGCTTAATCCACAAAAGAATCGGGACTTTGATAAATTTTAGGCTTTAATTCGGAATAGAGATATTGGGATTGAATTCTATGATTAATTTCTAGCCGGCACTCGAAAGAGGGGACAGAAATACAATTGGATTCTTACTTTTAAATATGAGAAAATTCATTTGAATAATTTGATGTCATTGAATCATATTCGAAAGTTGGTGAAATCATTCCCTAGGCTTTCTCATTTTGATAATTTATATTCTCTAATTTTGTCGTAGCATTTCACCTTTGATTAGTTTAAAACAATCAATCAACCACTTATTAATTGTCTAGATAAAATAGAAGTTATACAATTATAGTATTTGGTAGAAATTGAATTACAATCTTTGTGGGTTCTATACTCTTAACTCAATCATTATATTACAAAACTTGACACCGTTCACTTGTGGCATAAATTCACGTTGTATAAAACGCGTGACAAGTTTTTGGCGCCGTTTGCCGGAGATTGTTTTATTTAATTTTTACTAATATTATTACCAATTAGCTTTTATTTTAATTTAGATTTTTAATTTTGTTTTTATTTATTTTATTTTTATCTCTAATAGTTTCTTTTTTTCAGCTATTTATGCAAAGGGCAAAACACATCGACCTATTACCTGTTGATCCTGAATCAGAACGCACATTTCGCCATCTAAGGAGTATACAGAAAGACTAATGTGAAGCAATGGCTGAACAGGATACAAGAGCAGCTAATGAAAATAATCAGCAAAGAGTAATTCGGGACTATGTTAGGCCCGTTGTCAACGATAACTATTCTAGCATCGCATACCCCGCTATAGCTACAAACAACTTCGAACTGAAGCCAGGACTAATACACATGGTTCAACAAAATCAATTGGGGGAGCTGCAACAGAAGATCCGATGCTCATTTGGGATCTTTTCTCGAAATTTGTGATACAATCAAGATGAATAGCGTTACTGAAGATGCCATCAGACTCCGCTTATTTTCCTTTTCCTTAAGAGATAAAGCCAAACATGGTTCCAATCTTTGCCATATAGATCCATAACGACTTGGGAGGGGTTAGCTCAGAAATTTCCAACAAAATTTTTTCCACCCTCCAAGGCAGCTCAATTGCAGAGTGAAATTGTTCAATTCAGACAATCTGACATCGAGCCATTTTATGAGGCATGGGAGAGATTCAAAGATCTACTTAGAAGATGTCCTCAGCATGGTTATCAGAGTTGGGTACAAATCGAACTCTTCTACAATGGGCTGAATGGTCAAACAAGGACAATAGTAGATTCTGCAGCAGGAGGAACTCTAATGTCGAAGACTTCGGATGTGGCTTATTCATTGCTGGAGGAGATAGCTACTAATAGCTATCAATGGCCAAGTGAGCGTTCAAGTGCTAAGAAAGCTGCTGGCCTTTATGAGGTGGATCCTATCACAGCCCTTGCAGGTCAGATGTCATCTCTCACTGCTCAAATAGCTGCATTAACATCACAGGAAACTCAGAAGAAAATGGATTCCATCATGGCCGCCTCCACTTCATACCATGAATCCAAGTAAGAGAAGGAGCAAGTCCAATATGTGAATGGCAGAAACTTCAATCAGAGAGGAAACTACGCAATAAATCAGTACCATCCAGGACTGCGAAACCATGAGAACCTCTCTTATGGTAACAATGCAAATGCGCTGCAGCCTCCACTTGGATACAATACTCAGCCATCTGAAGGGAAGCCATCACTGGAGGATATATTGGGGACCTTCATTTCAGAGACTAGATCGAGGTTCAATAAAGATAAGGCAAGACTTGATAACATGGAGACTCATATTTCCAACATGGGGGCCACAGTGAAGCACCTAGAGGTTCAGATTGGTCAAATAGCAACTGCAGTACAGTCCCAGTGACACAAAAGTTAATCCACAGGAGCACTGCAATGCTATCATTTTAAGAAGTGGTAAAGCAGTTGAAGAGAGCAAGCCTAAAAAGGTTGTGGGGCTTACACCGGATCCTATACTTATAGAGGAAGAGCAGATTGAAGAACAAAAGATGGAAGCAGAGGCAACAAAAGAGACTCATAAGCCTTATTCCATCTCATTTCCAGACAATCCACCTATTTTGAAGCAAAAACTACCATTCCCACAGAGATTCATGAAGAAGAAAATTGATAAGTAATTTGCAAAGTTCCTAGAGACCTTCAAGAAAATCCACATCAACATTCCTTTTGCAGATACCTTAGCCCAAATGCCTAACTATGCCAAGTGTTTAAAGGAAGTAATGTCAAAGAAAAGAAAGTTGGAGGAGTTTGAGACAGTAAAGCTGACAGAAGAGGGCATTGCCATTTTTCAGAAGAAGCTCCCTTAGAAATTGAAAGATCTGGGCAACTTCAACATTCCTTGCAATATGGATAGCATCACATTTGACAAAGCATTGGGTGATCTTGGAGCTAGCATTAATTTGATGCCTCTATCAGTGTTCAAAAAGCTAGGTCTTGGAGATGTGAAGCCCACAACCCTCACCTTGCAACTGGCTGACAGATCATTTACATATCCTAAGGGCATCATTGAAGATGTATTGGTGAAGGTCGATGAGTTCATTTTTTCGATGGACTTTGTGGTGTTGGATATGGAAGAGGATGAGAAAGTGACGTTGATTCTTGGTCGACCTTTCCTGTCTACTGGACGGGTGTTGATTGATGTATAGGAAGGAAAGTTAACACTACGGGTTAATGAAGGGCATGTGAACTTCAACATCCATCAAGAGAATAAACCCCAAAAAAAAGTCAATGCATGCCACATGACCCAGTCTATCAAGGCAGAGAGGGATGAGAAGAGCAAGAATGAAGTGTTCTATGACTCTCTAGAACAACATATGGCTCTCAACTATTTGAAGTCTGATACATTTGCAGATGAAAAATGGACCAATTAAATTGTAGACTATGTCTTAGAGCATGAAAAGTCTCCACCCGACAAAAATGAGAACTATATGGAGAAGCCTTTGAAACCTCCTAACATTATCAAATCAAAAGATGATCTGAAGGCTACACTGAAGTTAAAACCGTTCAATTTTATTGGCCATGCTAAAATGAAGACGAAGACAAGGCCAAGGGTGAAGTTTAGAAATAAGAGAGAGGTGTTGTCTGAAGATCCAACATAGGCACTGCGGTTGGATCAAGCTAATGACGTTAAAGAAGCGCTTCTTGGGAGGCAACCCAAGCTTTCTTCCTTTTTACTTTTTCATTTATTTTGTTTTTGAATTATAGGGCAGTTTAGTTTATTTTATAGTTTAGTTAGAATTCCTC